TTGCTTATGCCCAAATACTTGTGGGCCCTGATCGTAAACTCCACCACCATTTCATGATTAAAGAAACATTTAGAGATTTGATTGTACCTACACCCAGTCCACCAGCATCTTTGGACGCTGTAACCTTGTCCCATGATGCCCAATGTATCTTTCGGTTACCTTCGGAGCTTCCCCACAAAAATTGTCTTCGGATTTTTTCTAGTTTATCTATCACACCTTGCGGTGCCACAAAAAGTGAGAGATAGTAGGTTGGAAGATTTCCAAGGACGGATTGCACAAGAGTTAGTCTCCCCCCAAACGATAGAGTTTTAGACTTCTATTTTGACAACTTTGCATGGAATCAGTCAATCACTGGTTTCCAGTTTTTTTTTTTAATTTCATATTCGCCCCGACTGGGACCCGAGATAAGTGAAAGGTAATGTGGCCGGCTCGCATCCCAGCGGTCTAGCAAATCTCGACACCTCCTGCGTGTTTTACCCTATCCCAAACACCCGAGATTTGTTGAAATTGACCTTGAGTCCGGAGGATACATGAAAACAATGTAGAATTCTGGCCAATTTTTTTGTTTTGTTCCGACCATTCACCTAGGAACAGGGCATCATCGGCATACAATAAGTGAGAGATTGAGGGGCCATCATGTGGTATTTTAAGGCCGTGGAATACTCCCCTATCACAAGCAGCCCTCATAGCCACACTTAAACCCTCCATTGCGATGATAAAGAGGAATGGGGAGAGTGGATCACCTTGTTTGACTCCTCTCGAGATGGGGAATTCGTCAGTGGGGTTCCCATTGACAAGAACCGATGATTTTGAAGAGGCCAAGCAACCGTTGATCCAACATCTCCATTTATCTCCAAATCCCATGGCTTTCATGTTTGAATCTAGAAATTCCCAATTAATCGAATCAAAGGCTTTGTTAAAGTCGACTTTGAAGAGTAAAACATTCTTTTTTTCCTTCTATGCCCATGAACATATTTCATTAACCACCAATGGACCATCGAGTATGTTTCGTCCCTCAAAGTACGCAGATTGTACCTCGTCAATACAACTTCCTAATACCCTCTTGAGCCGATGAGCAAGTATTTTTGCTATGATTTTGTAAATGGAACTGATTAGACTTATCGATCGGTAATCGCTAAGCATGAGGGGGTCTTTGATTTTGGGGATTAGAGAGATGAAGGAGGATTTGAAAGAAATATCAAGTTTCCCGTATCTCTCGAAGTGTTTGACCACCGCATCAATGTCACCAAATACAACATCCTAATATTTTTTGAAAAACTTAAATGAGAATCCGTCTAGGCCAGGAGCTTTCTCGTTTCCACACGCCCAAACAACAGCTTTAAGTTCTTCCAAAGTGATCGTGGCTTCCAACACATCATTTTCGATAGGTAGAATGCGTTTGAATTGGCTGCTAACCAGCTTGGGTCTAGAAGGCCACTTCCTTGAATTTGTCTGCAAAAAAGTTGAAAGCTTCCGACTTTATTAACACCGGATCGGTGCACCAAGTACCGTTGATCATAAGGCCATCAATCCCATTTTTCTGATTATTATGATTGACATGACCATGAAAAAAACGGGTGTTTTCATCCCCGTCGACCGCCCACTTTACCCTTGATTTTTGTTTGATATCTAGGACTCTGAATTTTCCAACTCTGCAATAGATTTGAAACTGTCCCGCCTTGAGTCAATTTCTTGTGGTGTAAGAAGTCTAGATTCTGCCTCATGGTCCAAATGTGCCATAATTTGTTTGTGTTTAGAGAGTTCCAACTCTTCTTTAGGATGATCTAAAGCTCTCCATGCCTTCAGACCCTCTTTCACGTGTTACAATTTTGCATGTAAATGTTGATCTGGTGTTCCATACCCCTGAAAGTTGTTCCAATGTGTGATGAATGCCCTTTCAAATCCATCTCTGAGCAGCCATGAGTTGAAAAGTCTGAATAGTGGAGGTCCAAAATCAGGCCTAACTGTGGATAGCAGAATTGGACAATGGTCAGATAGTTCACGGGGAAGAGCTGTGACAGTGGCGGACGAGGCAATGTCGAGGAAGCTTGGACTAAGAAGAGAACGGTCAAGTTTACTGAGTTTAAGATCTTCATTTCTAAAACACGTGAAACGAAAAGCTCCCATTTTTGGGTCTCTCAGTCCCACTTCACTGATGAAATTGTTGAAATCTCGAGCAGTTCGATTGCAGAAGATAGAGTTAAATCTCTCTTCTGGTCGCCTAACAGCGTTAAAGTCACCTAGTAGGATCCACACGCCGTCATATGTATGAATGATTCCTTTTAGTTCATCCCAAAGGTTAGCTTTCTCTGGAGCCGGTTGGGGTCCGTAAATGTTTGCAAAAATCACCGGTCTTTGAACCCCCACCCAGGTTCCGATATTGATAAGATAATGTTTTGAGGATAATACTTGAGTAGAACTGAACATACTACTATCCCATAAGTTCAATAACCCCCCAGAACGTCCAGATGCATTAATCCTGCTTGAGCCTAATTCAGTCGACCCCCAACATGATGCAACATCGATATATTCTGCATCTGATAACTGAGTTTCCTGTATAGCAATGAAAGAAAGCTTGTGTGCTACTCTTAGCCTTCTAACCCAAGACACCTTATGGTCTTCTCCAATGTCACGAATATTAAGGGAGAGAAAATTCATTGGGGACCATTGATCTCACCTGATTCGCCTAGGACTTCAATTAACACAGGATTATCCGGTTGAATTTCGAATCCAATCAAAGAGCCCACGAAAGCAGTGGCTTCAATTTCAGACAACGGCAATGATGCAGAAGAGGGATGATAGTTCAACCTTGAGTTTAAGAAATTTTGACCGAGGAGGAGGGGAGGGTTATTAAGAGATGGAGGAATCAATGTACGAGACCCAATAAGCTCTTCCTGGGGGGGGTAGAGTCTGGGAACAAGTTGACCGGCAATGGGAGATCACCAGTTGGGGAGCGGAGTCCATGTTTGCATTTTGCCGAGGAACGATAATTCACAGATGGATCTGGATGACCAAAGTTGGAATATAGGGATTATTTTATTAAATTCCATATAGTATTTTAATGCAATAATTGCAATAAATGTAGTAATAAATAAATATAAATTTCATTAATGAACTTACATTTTAATTTCAAAATTTTTAAACTGAAAGTTCATTAGTTTTTTTTATTTATTTAAACTATTGGTTTAAATTTAAAAGATAAAAAACATTCCGATTATAATAATTCATTATTTTTCTTATTTTCTTATAAATTCAAAGTTATCAAATATTTTGATCTTTATTTTGAATTTTTTTCTTAAGTTAACTCATATGGTCTCAAATTTATTAAATATATATAATGATATAATTTGACCTAAACAAAGTTCAAAGTAGAATCATTTATTATTCTAATATAATAATCAAATGTAACCGGGGATAAGAAGGCTGCTTCCTAAACCATTCAACTTCTATATTTAATACACTCCTTAAACTTTTTTATTAATTAAAGTTGTATGCAATGATATTCTATTTTTAGTTGTACTTTATAATTGTAGAATATTTTTTATGACCTTATTATATTCACAAGGTCTTCAGTGTAGTGTTTAATTGTTTATATATTAAAACCGGGCGCTTTTTTTTTTTTTTTAATTTATAGAAGACATATTAGGACAAGATATTCATTGAACTTCTTTTAACTTTCAAATTAAGTATTAATATACAGATTCTTAACATATTAAAATATGCATAATTATTCAACATATATATTTTAATTTTAACATTGTTACTTTCTTAGAACAATCATCAACAAATTAATATAATGAGAATAAACAAAATAATGTCCAGCTATAAAAGTTGTGAATAATGTTCAGATTGATTCAATAGAACAAAACTTTAGTGAGAGAATGATTCAACTATAGTATCATGCATACATCTTACATAGTAGTCTTGACACTCGAGTACGTTCTCTTTTCGACACATATGACCCATATAACCCATATAACTCTTATGTTCCCCATTTCTGTCTTTATCTTGCACAACAACGCTCATGTCTAACCACGAAGTTCAGTTAACTTTGAGTATCCACTTGTTATCTCCTTCGATTCAGTTCACTTATCTCACCACCAATCAAGTTAAATATCGTTCATGTGCCACAAATCGAAGCTCATAAGTTTCAGTGACCAAGAACTGTGGTTCCACACGTATTCTTGACCCTTAATCAATCTTTGGCTATTGCTTCGCAACTTTACTTTCTAAGCTTTTTAACCCTTTAATTACCAGTCTTACATGTCCTAATTGTAACTTCAATTCACCCTTATCAATTTGTAATTTATGCAAATTAAGTTACGATGGTAGTACAAAGACCTTGAGACGTCATGGTGATGAGATGATGACATCAATAAGAGCTCACTGACATCATCATTAGAATGTGCACCAACTTACTGTCGTTTTATAGCGTGATCCTGCCCATATTTTGTCCTCTCCATTTTGGATTATTCTTCTTCTTTTTATAAATATATTTTTTGGAAGACCTACAACGCTTTTATAATTTGTCCTTTATAAAATACTGAAATGTGTTTTACGATCTATAATATTTTGTTATTTGTTTATTGATATAAACTATATATTTCCACGAGAAACCGAGTAAAGCGATGACGCACCTCTAGCGATAACATAAGTCTGCCGATGTTGAGGAACTTTTACAAACGACATCGCTAAAAAAATTTGTAAAATCTTTAGGAAACTTTCAATGTCACCACAGACATGTCGTAGTAAGCAGAAAAGTTTATGACCAAATTTCATTGACCACGAATTTTAGAGGAGCAATACGTCATCGTTGTGTAGGTATTTTATTTTCTATGAAAATAAATAATGAATTTGGCGACTTTGGACGTCTTCGTCGTTGGTTCCGGCGGGATCAAACGCCATTGATTTTTCTCCCTTCTCTTCTCGTCTTCTTCGGTTTTTCTTGCTGATACTCGATGGTTGGTAATGAACGGGGGCATCAATCGCAAACAATCTCAATGAATCACAGAAGGATCGAGAGTGTCTCCACGCCATTCTTTGTGACCAATTTCCCTCCAGAAGCAGACGTCAAGACCTTATGGGAGGCATGTGATAAGGTTGGGAAGGTGGTTGATGTTTATGTTGCTAGGAAACTATCAAAACTTGGTAAGCGATTCGCATTTGTTCGATTTATTAAAGTTAAAGATGATCTATTGTTGGGAACGAAAACTTAGAGAGATTTGGATGGGATCATATCATTTATTTGCTTCTGTGGCTCGGTTTAGTCGAGATGTTAGTAACAAGGGAGTATCGAATAAAAAGGAGAAGGTTGCTTCTCATAATTCTGTTGAGCAGGTGAAGAAGCTGAATGTGCATGATGTTGCACATTCTAGTTCGTATGCAAATGTCTTAAAGGGTCAGGGGGTTGTGAAAACTAATAAAGGCTTGGTTCCTGAATGTATTTTACAGGGACAAGAGATCGATAACCCGCTGTCATTGACGATATCAATTTTTGGCAAGCTACGAGATATTAGATCGATTCCGATGTTGTGTATTCTCTTGAAAGAAGAAGGTTTTCCGGAAATTGTCATTAAGTATGTTGCTAGTGATTGGGTCTATATTTCTTTTATATCGGAAGCTGCTTGTACACGGTTTAAGAAATTTGAGGCGGTTAAGGCTTATTTCTCAGTTTTTAGACCGGTTGTTAATGGTTTTTTTTTGTTAAAGAGTGTGCTATTTGGTTGGAGTTGATGGGTTTACCATGTTGTGCTTGGAATGATGTTGCGGATAAAAAGTTGGCTTCTATGTGGGGTGAGGTTTTGTTTTATTGAAGAGGATGGGGACGCTCCTTTGGCGGTTAAACGTGTGTGTATTAAGACTGGGAAACCTTTTTTGATCCAAGATATGATTAAAGTGGTTGCTCAAGGTGTTGAATATGGGGTGGTGGTGCGTGAAATTTCAAATTGGGAACCGAATATTATAGAGGAGGGAGAAATAGGGTCGGACATTCCGGACGTGTCAGGGGGAGAGGAAGAAGATGCTTGTTTTGATGACGATGTGAATGATTTTATTGATGTAGAGAATGGCGATAAGGTTGATGAGGGGCAAGAGAACTCTTTTAGCATGGATAATACACCTATTAATGGTGTTAGAGGAGCTGGATTTGTTGATAGAAAAGGAAGATTTTTCCAAACAAATAATAAAGAAAAGGTGATGGAGATGTGGATGGGGGTCTTTTCTGCCAAACGTTGCTGCCACGAGAGGTGTCGCTAAAAATAAATCTAATCCGGTGATGCCTTCTCCGGTTATGGAGGATGGTTGTGAGTTGCAGGGTGATTCGCCCCATTTGGTAGATAATGTGGAGGGGGAGGGGCAGCTGAATCACCATCACAACCTCCCGGTTATAGACGAGATCAATCTTCTACGTCTCATGGATCTTCTAAGATCCTTAAAAAGAAAGTCCCGGTAGTTGTTGATGATATAGAAGACGTGTTGAAGCAATATTTCGAAATGGGTGGCCTTCTCGGGTATGATATGGAGACTAATAAGGAACAGGTTAAAAATATTTTATCTAGTATTGGTGTGGCACAGGTGGATCATTGAAGTGTCTTTCTTTAAATATATGTCGTACCCATTCTTTTTTAAAAAGAAATTGGGTTAAGGCGCTTTGTTTACAGTTTGGAGTTTCTTTTTTGGGTTTGCAAGAAACGAGAATGACGCAAGTTGATCTTTTCAAGATCCGAAGTATGTGGGGGTAATTATAGATTCGATTTTGCTAGTAGTAGTGCTTGAGGTCGATTGGGTGGTATTCTTTATGTGTGGGACCCGAATGTGTTTAGTAAAACCAGTGTTACTTGCACTAGCAATGTTGTTATTGTGGGAGGCTTGTGGATTCCGTTTAATATTAACTGTTTTATGGTTAATATTTATGCTCCTCAAGATCTAGTGGGAAAGCAACATCTTTGGGGGTATCTTTCGGCGTTCATGAGAAGGAATGAGGGGAAACTATGTCTTTTTTGGTGATTTCAATATTGTTAGGGAGCCGGGTGAAAGGTTCGGTTATGTTTTTTTCTCTACTTATGCTCAGTACTTTAACGGGTTCATTGAAGATGCTGGTCTTATTGATGTGTCTATGGTTGCAAAGCGGTTTACTAGAGTTTATACCATAGGTGCTAAACTTAGCAAGCTTGATCGGTTCTTGGTCTCGAATGCGGTTTATGATTGTTTTGATCATCTTCAGGTCTCGGTGTTGGATAGGAAATGGTCGGATCATTGCCATATCCTGCTTCATTCTAATATGGTTGATTTTAGGCCTTCTCCTTTTAAATTCTTCAATTCTTGGCTTTCTTTGGAGGGTTTTAAAGATGTGGTTAAAGGAGTTGTGGCTGATTTTGTTAGTGACCCGTCTTGGAGTAAGTTTGTTGTTTTAAAAAACAAGCTTAAATTTATTAAAGCTAGGATTCGGTCTTGGAATGCGGAGACTAAGTCGGCTGCACATCTTTCTTCATCTCAGTTGTTGGGGCGATTGGTAGAGATTGACAACTTTATTGATGATGGTGAATCTAGTGATGACCTTATTCGTGAAAGAAGAGGAATTCTTGGAGATTTGGCGAATTTGGAAAAAGTCAGATCTCTGGATGTAATGTCCGTGTTTCTAGGCTAGACATTAATATTGACATGATAGTCTAGGTTAACCTCTGTGACTCATTTTGGAGAAATGAAAAGGAATTATGTGAAAATTATGTGTTTTATGTGTTTTATGCTTAATTATTAGAATTTAATTAATTAAGATTAAAAATGAGCGTCGAAAATAAATATTAGATAAAGCCGATATTTATTAAGAAAGTTGTAGTGGTCGTGACAAGGATTACAGATATATAAAGAATGCCGAAATCCGAGTTATAACGAAGAAGTTATGACCTGTCGAAGTTTCACGACAAACCCGGCACGGTGCTGAATGTCGTAAAAAGTGAGTTTTTGATAAACTACTTTTGAGCCTTAGTAATCTAAACGAAACTCGTAGTATTCGTTAAACCTAGAAGTTCGATAAAAAGGACGCCCAAATCTGACTTCGTATGAGGAAGTTATGATTTTTTGAAGTTTCAGCTTAGCAGTAGACCGCTAAAAACTCGAATTTTAGATCGAGTGATTTTTAGCCGACACAACCTAAACGAGAATCGAAGGTCTCGTAAATAGTAGCACAACGGTAAAAAGTCTGACGAAAACGGACGTCGGATGAAGAAGTTATGAATTTTTAACGGATTTTATGTCCCGGTCTGTTAAAAATAATAATATAAAAATTAAATTCAAAATTAGCCGACGAAGTCTAAACGAAAGTTGTAGAGCGTAATTTTACCTACGCGTGCATATAAAGAACGTAAAAAACGGAGCTCGTATGCGAAAGTTATGGATTTTAGAAGTTTTGGCGCGAAAAACGAGAAAAATCCCCAAAACCGGGAAATTTCGCTGAGTCATCTCGGACACGTCATCCCTCGCATGCGAGGCCTCCACGTGGCACCTCCTGATAGGACTGAGCTTCGCGTGTCGTCTTCTGATTGGACCAAGTCTGCGGTCCACTCGCATTCGGACAGCCTCGCAGGAGATACCCCGCGGATGCTCCTTGGACACCCCTTCGCATACTTGTAGCCTCCTGATTGGACCGAGGCTGCTGACCAATCCGAAGCTCGCAGCTGACCAATCCGAGCCTCGCCCTGCTGCCACCTGGTCCGAGCCTCGCAGATGCGTGCCCTTCCCTCCTCGGTGCGGATCCAAGCCTCGCTACTATATATAGTAGTGGCTGCGAGACTTCCCGGGTAGAATCCGAAATTTGCCACTTTTCACCCATTTTTCATCTTTTTTATCATTTTGACTTCCCCCGAAGCCCCGGTATCATTTCTAAAGCCCGAAATACGTTCCGAAGTTCCCGAAGACCTAAAAAATTTATCTTTTCGGTTTTGAAGTCCGACCTTTCGCAGAGCCCGGTTTCTCAATAAAACTCCCGGTTTTATTAGAAACGAACGTTTTAGGAAACGAATTGCTGCCCGATTATCATCAAATCATGTGAGTGTATAGTCACTTTCATCTTACACATAGATATGAAGTATTTTATATAAAATACGTGATATTTGTATATATGTTGTTTGTTTATTTGAGATGGATGTTGAATGAATGTTTTATACATGTTTAAAATGATTTAAAATGTATATATATTTTATCTTCAAGTATGTTGGGTAAAACATGGGTAGATAAAGTATGAGGGATAGAAGTACAATATAGATGTACGTTGGTAGCTATGAATTTAGTACAGTATAGATGTACGTTGGTAGCTATGAATTTAGTACAGTATAGATGTACGTTGGTAGCTACAGATTTAGTATGTTGGCAGCTATGGACTTAGTGTCTGTTGTATAAACCTTGGCGACGATGTGACTTCGTGCCTATTTGACATAAATTGTTGAAGGAAAACAATGTTGTCTCCCTGGTGTTTGTTTTTTATTGACATAAATTGCTGAGGGAAAGCAATGTTGTCACCCAGGGTGTGGGTGTTGTTTTATTTGACATAAATTGCTGAAGGGAAAGCAATGTTGTCACCCCGGTGATCGTTTTATTGACATAAATTGCAGAGGAAAGCAATGTTGTCACCCTATTGGTGGTCTTATTTGACATAAATTGCTGAGAAAGAAAGCAATGTTGTCACCTTATTGGTTGTTTTATGTTAGGTTGTCTTGTTTGACATAATTTGCTGAGGAAAGCAAAGTTGTCACCCCGATGGTTGCCTTATTTGACATAAATTGCTGAGGAACCCCTGAAGCAATGTTGTCACCCCTAATGAAAATCCTTAGGCTAGGTCCCTTGTGATAGTTGTTTTAGGGACATAAGGTGAGGATAACGGGAATGGGTAATTAGGGTTGTTTTTGGTTGATGAAATTAATAAATTATTTGTTGATTGATAAACTTAAAAGTTTCTTATTTATTGTGGGTTGAAAACCCTATATGCTCACCAGGCTTCCAAGACTGACCCACTCAGCTTTTTATATTACAGGTAGGTAGTGGACCCCGAGCATAGTCAGATGATGATGATTGAGTGATTTTTGGATTATAGGCCAGTAGTAGTTATAAATGACTGTTGTAAAGGCTTATAATGTCTTGTTTATGCTTTTGATCTGTATCGGAACATGACATCCCGAGGTTTTGATATAAAAGTAGATTATATATTTCTTAAAGAAAGGTTTTGACAAACTTTTATCAGGTTTTGGTTTGGGGACCAATTCCACAACATCTTTTAAAAAGATTTCTATGATTTTATTTTAAAAAGCATAAATTAAATCGGTCTTTTCTGGCCGAGAAATTAGGGGATGTCACACTGGATGTTGCTCAAAAGGTTAAATCTACTTGGGCTGTGGAGGGAGATGAGAATTCTGCGTTCTTTCATGCATTATTGAAAAAACGCAGAAGGCAGTTGATGATTAGAGGGGTTACTATTGATGGGGAGTAGATTTCGGAGTCTGCTAGTATTAAGAAGGCTTTTTTCGATTTTTATGCATGTAAGTTTCAGCCTTTTCTTGGTGTTAGTTTCGATCATCGAAGTCCTAGATTCAAGTATTCGGATCCGAGGGTTGCTTCTTCTATTGAGGTGGGGTTCACGACTGAAGAGATTAAAAATGCAGTTTGGGATTGTGGTGTAGATTGTGCCCCTGGTCTGGATGGTTTTACTTTCTGTTTTCTCATATATTTTTGGGAGATCCTTGCAGATGATGTTATTGCTTTTGTGCAAGAGTTTTTTGCCAAACCGGTCTTTCCGAAGGGGTGTAATTCATCCTTTATTACTTTGATTCCCAAATCCGATAATCCGCTTTGTATCAAGGATTATCGCCCTATTAGTCTTATTGGGTTGCAATTTAAGATTATTGCAAAATTGTTGACTAATAGGTTGGCTCCTGTTCTTCATGATATTATTGGGTCAGAGCAGTCGGCTTTTCTTAAGTCCCGTCAAATTCTCGATGGCCCGTTGATGGTTAATGAGCTGGTGAGGTGGTTTAAAAATAAAAAGAAAAAGCTTATGATGTTTAAAGTTGATTTTGAGAAAGCTTACGATTCTGTGAGCTGGGAGTATTTGGATAAGGTCATGGGGTTTCTCGGTTTTGGCGAGAAATGGAGAGTCTGGATTCGTGGCTTGTGCTGTAATGTTAGATCTTCGGTGTTGATTAATGGGAGCCCTACTGATGAGTTTCAGCTTTTCAGAGGTCTTAGACAAGGAGATCCCCTTTCTCCTT